ATACATAATAGTACAAATTTTAAGTAAACAAAATTGAAACGAGTAGCAGAACAACGCAACGTTATATATTCTAATAACATGCAATACAATTTGTTTGCGAGTTTGTTTATATATTAAAATTGGCAAGTTTCCTCTTGATTTTCGTTTGACGCTCGAAAGAGCCGATCCCCTTTATTACAGTTTGCTCAAGAATCTCAGCTTGCGGACGGTCGCACCTTGCGATCTCGGCTTTGTTTTAATTATTTAAAGAAATTTGTGAGATACACAATCTCCGTCTTGGTGCGCAGCAACCTCAGTTGATATTAAAACTCGGAACGTTAAGTGACGATCTAAGTTCTACAGGAAGTATACAAGATAGTTGCCGACTTTAACGATGTGTAAAAAACGAATACTATTATGGTATATATGTATATATTGTAGTAGAAACGCAATTCCTCCAAGCTATAATTGAATTTCTCGTTATGATTACTTATTTTATAACTGACAAAAGTAGAATTTGATCAGATACGTACCATATTTTAATAGATCTGTACTTTTGGCCGCATCTTTTCTATATCAGAACGCCGGAGACGTTTCAATTTTCATCAAACTTTAACTTCTATCCGAAAGATAAACGTAATTTTCTTTCAAGAAATCAAAAATTCACAGTTTGATTTTACTTGGTATGAACTGTTTTTTTTTTATTTACTGCAGAACAAACAAACGCGTTTTACTGCGTAAGAGGAAAGTAGAAAATCAAGTAATTATAATAGTCGATTGGTAATTCATCTCTGTTAGAGCGCAGCACAATACATGATATACGGAAATGTAACATTAAAATTTCAGAATGCTTTTATCACATTGTTGCTATATTTGAGGTTTAGCCATAACGAAAATGTAGGACAGCGGTAGATTATCCACCAGAAAGAACAATAGGGATAAAAAATAATGGCATAATAAATATCGAACTACGCCAATAGTTAAAAAATAATCGATATTTTGCCTTTCCTACTTTTATCAATACTCACTTTAATAAATTATTCGTAGAAGGTACACAATACACATCTTACAAATAGAATTTAATTTCAAAAATATATATTCTACAATGTACAAAATAAATAAAAATAATATTAAATATAAAAATCAAATAAATAATTCAATATTAGTATGTATTAAATATTAAGTTGTTATTGTAACAACTTGTTAATAATTTTCTTATTATTTGTAAAGCGATATCCACTTGTATTTAGCTAACTCTTTATCCTCCAATTACACTGTTGGTAAACTATTTTTTTATCACAAACTTTGTCCGGTTAACAATCTCATTATACTCGATTAAAGGCAAAACAGAAGATGAAAATAAAGCATTGAAAATTCTGTGCTGTCGATAACAAATGCGGACGACGACATTAGAAAAAGTGTCAGTTATCGTCTCACGGAATCACGTTCGTTTTCACACAGAACGAAGCTGCTTTTAATCAGCAACGAAAGAGAAAAATAAATGCAAAGCGAAAGTGTAACAACAGACATTGTACAGAGCAGAAAACGGCATACCAGTGATTAAAAACAGCGCCGTTATTGTGCAATTTCTCAAGCATAATAATGAAGCTTGATAATCCTGCGAAATATATGAAATATTCTGTCAATACTTAACAAAAAATAGTACGTTAAAAGAGAAATGATAATGCAGCTACTCCATACATTTGGAGAAAGCGAATTGAGAAATTTCTAAATCAATACACTGCGTATTTTGATACTCATTATTTCTAACGTAGCTTGCATCTCTGTCGCGCGTTATTAACGTTCCTTTAATTCCGCGTATCTTTACGTTCCACTTCGTTCATAACAGCTCCACGCTGCTATGCGGACTCGAACGTGCAAAGATTCGCAAATCCGGTTGTCCCGCGGGATGCATTTCTTCCTTTTTTTCCCCCTTTTTGCATCGTTGCAACAAGAGCGGGTGGTAACGAATCAACCGTAAATTCGCGGAAAAATTATGGAAACGAATAGCGAAACATATTTCCATACAGATTGGTCCCCACGTTCCTCAACTGAATTGCTCCATTTTTTCTGCAACGTAACGCCGAACGTCATAAAACGTCATTTGTCAGAATGATTCAATGGCAAAAAAATTACGGTACGACACACAATATAACTCGTACGGCGGTTTCCGTAATACCGCTAAAGGCAACCCGATTGTCGTATCCACGTATTTCGTTGGAAATTGCAAGCGACACCGAAAGCTCTAATGAAAGAGCCAATGAGCGACAGTCAAGTAGAGATTCGTTTACTTAGACTCGCACGAATGTAATTAAATGGCGCAGAAGCCGTAGAAACCGGCAACTCCGGTTGTCTTGGAAACAACTTGCGTCGTGTCTTTATTACTGTAGATTGCTCGAATGACGGGAAAACTTGGATAATTTTGAAATTGATGCAGATCAGCTGGATTGGTGCGGTAAGACATAAGTCGAACAAGTATATCGACCATCTGCTTCAGCGGAAGTATAAAGGCGGATTACGAGAGGCGAAGCATTCCCTAACCGACGTAGATAAAAGCACGTGCGCACTCGTCTTCGTATTCAATTTATCGAAGTTCTTTCATCCTGATGACAAATATCGGATAACAGTAAATCGAAATAGCGAGGGAAAGGAAAAGAATAAGCACGTACCAATGTCTACTAAAAATAGTAACTTGCGATATATATAAAATTCATATTTTTCAACAAAATTTAATTATTCAAAATCACCGTATGAGCTATTGTTCTATTTCAATTAGTACGAGCTATTATTCCATTCACGAAAACAAAAATGTAATTTTCCTTTTTCTCACATGCGTATTTAAGGTTTCAGAGTAAAATTTTAAAAAAACAGTAACGCAAATTTTGCACTAAAGGTTGATATGAATTATTAAGTTGTACATATTAAAAATAGAAAGTTTATTAATATTTAACACACAGAAATTAGAGATTGATATTCAGATAAATCGAATACCATGTTCTCCATTATTTATTTTGGTCAGCGCGAATCAATTCGATGTTGCAAAGCCGTATATTTCCCTTTCATCAATCTGGAACCCTCTCATAGCGTCGCTCGATGAAAGTATCCCAAACCAGGCCAGGTATTACCGTACTACCGGCTACAATTATCAGCCGGAACATGCCGTTAACGAGGAAAGCCTTTCAAAGGCAACACAGAGTTTCGATTAAACTTTGTAGGCGCTCCCACAAAAGAAAGATACGTATTTTTCTCGATACGCTAAGAAACTTATTCACTATGTCGTTTCAATGAAAGAATTGAAAAATTTTCCCTTTACTCTTTATCCACAACAAACTTCTGACAGTATCTTTGTTTTTTTATTTTACGATATTATAGATATTTTATCGCCAACATGAAGTAAATCAATTTATACTATTATAGATATTAATATATAGAGAAAAACTATAAAGAAAAAAAAATCTGTACCCAAGTATTTAACGATATAATAGTAATTACTTTTTGCGATATTATTAATTATTTATATACTTGTATATACAGAATAATTGAGAATACTTTAATCTTCACATCAAAATTTCTTAATTTTAAAAAAGATTAAAAAACAGACGTTATAAAACTTTCTAATATACTTGATTCCTTATTGTGTCATTTGGTACACGAACAAATGGGATTGCTCTTTCAGCGACGCGGGAACGTGCAACATAAAGTCGGTCGTAGTTGCAGTTTATGTGACACGTTTAACTGCAAGCTCTTGCAAAAGCGTATCATTTCATATCACGTATACTTGTGGTATCTGTCAAGTTAGAGAAGTAATATTAAATTATTTTGAAGATTTCCATTTTCAAACTCTCTGACAAAATAAACAAAAGTTCTCAAATTCTTTATAAAATAGGTATATAAATGATAAAAATATCGAATACGGGAATACGGTACGTCTTGTAGTCTATTAATACACCAACGGATTTAAATCAATTTTCGTTCGTAAATATTTGTGCTACATGGCTAAGCTCAAGTTTAGAACCTAAACCAAAGATGGACGTGTGTCTTCTTGCAAAGTATGTATAATCTGGATTTCTGCTAAGTCGAGAATCGTGATGTACATTGTTTATTCAACGTGTATTCTATGTATAATAAGATTACTCTCTATTTCATCTTCTCCATAAGAAAATTAGAAATGTTTTAATTATTAACAAATATATATTTAATTTATATGATTATACAAGAAAATACGAAATGTAAATAAGAATATAATCTCAAATCTTCAACTATGTAAATATCATGTACAGTATGTACACATTAATGATATCATATCGTGCAACGGTGCGAGTTACTTCAAATCTTAATCGGATTCCTTAATTGCAAAGAGGTTCATAGCTCAAAAGTAAGGCAGAAGGAACCAAGGAGATTTTCATCTCGATTAAAATGAGACTCAAAGTGATTTAGCGAGGTAATTGCAACCGACTCGTTAGCATCGGTCGATGCGGGGTCCCGCGCGCACAGCCCTTTTAGCTGAACGCAGTGGAATGCATCGAAATTAGAGAACCGCATCGTCCGCAGGCAATAGTAGCGCATAGTTGTGGATCCGCCCGAACACCGTATTCAAATCAAATTACAAATACCGTATAAAATCACATTCCACATAACGACAAACGACAAAGATTTTACCAGGACGAATACGGTGCCTATCGTATCACACTGACCATTCAACTAATCTACTGAAGTTGATACTAACAAATCAATGTAAATTTCACGCCATTTTCGTTTCATATACTTCAAAAACTAATTTCATATGCATTACCTTACTTTAACATGGTTCTGTTTAATATTTTATATCCTGTATGCATATATATGTGTACATGTTACTCGTATAAATATAAACCATATGTAATCAAAAATAATAACAAATACACACATATATATATATATATATATATATATAACTTTTTACTGACTGCGCAAATCTTTTTCAATAAATTAATCAATCTAAATAAATAATTGTAATTAACAAAGTATCTTTCTCTTTTCAGGATTTGGCAATGATTAATGCGACGAAGAGGTGATGTCATGTGGCGAAACTTTGGTTGGACGGCCATTCTGGCCACATGGACGATATTACTAATTTTGAATAGCGGCTTAGCCGGTGAACGGGTCCCGAATAATCCGCAAAACAACAATGAAGACATTCCTTACAAAGTTGATCACGGAGCGACGTATCCCGTTTTCGATAAGAAAGTTGTCGACGATTCTAAGTTACGATACGCGAGAGAGAATTTCAAATCGAATGATCGTTCATCAATGCATGTGAAAGCAGTTTCTCTGGAATTCAAAAATACGGAAAATCGTGATTCACGACTCAGTGGCTATGAAAAGCACATTACGATGTCAAATGCAATGGCTACGACGAAGTACTTGAAAGACGCCGACGACAAAAGTGCGCGACTGATTACAAAAAAAGTAGGAACGGAAAACGTATGGCTGTCAAAAGTTATCGTTGTGAAAAAGTCAAAAAATACAAGGAATTATCTTAAGTTCGTATCTAGCCTACGTCCGTCGCCGTCGACGTTCCGAGAATCGGAAAGTGCCTCGAGGCAAAGAAGACGCAAGGAAAGAACCATTTACGTGTTCTTGAACGATCGTAAAAAGGTTGGAATGATAAGACACGATACTCAGGCGTTTGGCAAGAAAGACGGACAATGGAAAGAGTACGAAGAGGATCGAGTCTTTAGCGAAGAAAACGGAATGACCGCATTCTTCCCTGACAAATTCACAAAGGGTCCGCGTAGCGAGAAAGACAGTTCTATACTGCAGAAGTTCAAAAATTCCGGCATCTCGCAACTCAAAAGTACGCCGGAAGACATTGAGTCTAGAGACGCCGATGAAACACGCGAACGTAATAGTAATAAAAGGCATTCCCGCGAAAGTCTCGAGCTGACGAAAACCAGCGCGAATAAATTGATTTACGTTGAAGTCAGCGACAAATCTCAAGGAGTAGAGCCAACTTTTTCAAACTACTTAAGCTCAAAGGAAAATCAGAGTCGTGGGGATGGAACTATTACAACTACTGCAGATAACGTCACAGAAAATTCACTCTACGAACGTTCCGTACCTGTCACTCGGACCACGTTAATCTTCAACTCCAAAATCTCGAGTGCAAACAGAGTTGGTAATGAAGAAAACACCGTAAGTCCCTATCACTCTTCGGAGGACGAATATTCAAAATCCTATAAAGCGGATAAGTTTCTAGTAGCCGAAACACACAAGCGCGACGAACATTCAAAGGTAGGATTTAAAATAAGTACAGACGGGAACAAGAAGGGGAACGTCATCGATCCGTTCGCTCTTCGTGTATCAAATTCGCACGATAACCATTTTATTAGAAAAAGAAACAGCTTTGCGAGACGTCCTTTTCTATATAAAAAAAAGAACTTGTTAAAGGCAAACGACATATTTGACTCGCGACATCAATATCATTCTTCAATAAGCGATGTGAGAATAAATAGAAAAGCAGCGAATCTTGGCAAGATGCATATAAGAAAAAAAATAGAAGAAAAGAAGATCACTGCCGTTGCAAACTACGCAACGCGCAACACACACAAAGTCAAACGTGATCTGTTACCAACTAATTTATCTACCAAGGGAAACGACGAGTCGAACTTAGACTATCAGATGCCAGCGCGTATTTCAGTCACGCAGAAAAGGAATCCGATGCACGTACGACACGTCGAATCCGACGCGAACTGCGAGCGTCCGCGGACAACCGAGTTCGAGGCCGAAGTTCGTGACGCGTTTCGAATCAGCCTCCGGAATGTCTCCGGTCCATCGGAGATCGCAAAATTCGGCAGTCACCTAGACCAGAAAGCTCGCAGTCGCCCGAAATACCCGCGGAATTTTCATGCCATCAATATCGGTACACGGCCTCCGCGCATCGCCGAGACAACTGATGGAAGATCGGAACTCGACGTGGAGCGAAGAACTTCAGCCGGGAGCGTATCTATCTTTTTCGGCGCAGCGAATGTCAGCGATAATTCGACCGGGATGCAGAAGATTAATGGGCGTGTGCAGTCATCGAACGTACTTACGGATGAGCCCGGATTAGAAAATGTCGGAGTTACGACGGGACGAGGCGGAGATCGTCGTGATGTGCATGAAGAATCTGGATTTTATTCACGAAGAGACGGTGTCCATAACTCAAAGTATCGACGATACAAACGCCAAGACTGGAACACCCCGGGGATATCGACGTCAACTGAATTCGATACCGAGACGTGGAAGACACTCGATACGACTAGGGTAACAACAGCATCGAACTCGCTAATCGAATTTACCGCGGATTCGTCCATTTCGACAACTCAAACAAATAATATAGATCAAATATCATCTAATGCGAAAAAAATTCTTACATCTGCAAAAACACTGCCGACCACTTCGAGACACACAGAATTACAGAAAGAGCGGCAATTCATCCGATTGGCTCCGACCGATAACGATGAAAGATACACGAACGCACACACAAATCCGGCAAGAATGGATTCTGATGCCTCTGACTCATTAGAGATACCGTTGATAAATGATCCGAAGATCTCGAACGTCAGTACGGCGGAAACGCCATTTCCAATTGAAGCGCACGATCGATCGAGCACAATAGCCAAAATAGACAGCTCTATTATTCGAAAAGACGTTCCTACAACCGTGGAAGCAAACGTGCGAATATCCGACGCTACGAACAAGATCCTCTTGGATGTGTCTTCGACCGAGCTCATTAATGCGCAAGAGGGAGCGTACGGTAATGAATCCGTTTGGACCATTGACCCACTTCGTCAAAGGAACAGTGATCCTTCTCAAGGTGTCTCCGAGAACATCACCACGGAGAATGTCGTCGACTCGTCAGCCAGTGCCGACGTGCTCTCGGAGCAGTGGCCTGTAAAACATAGCGCGGTGGTGGAAGGTGATCTCGTTCTCGGCGGACTGATGATGGTGCACGAAAGAGAAGATACAATTACATGCGGCCGTGTAATGCCTCAGGGCGGCGTTCAGGCTCTGGAAGCCATGCTGTTTACGCTGGACACTCTCAACGATCGGGATATCGTGCCTGGCGTCAAGATCGGTGCGCACATACTCGACGACTGCGACAAGGACACGTACGGCCTTGAGATGGCGGTGGATTTCATAAAGGGTACGTACGAGCCACTGTATGTACGGCGGAGCATGATCATACACTTCTCCGCGTATGTTGCACGTAATATCATTTCATACAGCGAAACTTTATCAAGCGATAGGACGACATCTCGCAGAGATGTAAGCATGAAAGATGTAATCTTGTCTTGTAATTCGTACGTATCTGATTCTATCTCTTAAAATACGACATTAAATGTCTGACATGTGATTTATGAGTCGTGTACACACTCCTTTTTTCTTTAACAGTATTACGTCGCTTTTCCTCCTTACATTTTCATGTTGCTTTCCTTCGTTCTTGTCGACTTAACTTCTATAACTTTATTCTCTCATACTTTACACTAAAACTAAACCCAAGCTTGGAATTTTACTTTCCTGTGCAAAATGAATCCGTATGAATATCACATAGTCTTCCTGAGAGAATTTTCCATATAACCATTGCCATTGAAAGCACTATGATGCCGCAGGCCTATAATATCTCTAGAGGTTTGGAAAATTACGCTAGTGAAATCACCGTCATGTAATTTATAGCGAAATGAATTTGTATTAACTTATTTCGTTATTGCCTTGGCGCAGCGCAATGAATGGATACGCTCAAAGCGAAAAGCGTGCGTATATACATGTATACACATCAAGAGCAATATTGTTATTCCTTTTACATTTACACGATAGAGAATGTAGGTACAAATTGCTTTTAACCCTGTTTTCCAATTTTTAATATATATAAATAACGCATATTGATCGAGAGTCATTTTATTTATTTTATTGTTTTATTTTTTCTTTTTATATATCTATTCAGAAGAAATATAATATTGTCATCAAAAAATTCCAAATTTGCTGTAATAGCAAATATATATTTATTACCTCTCTTTTTCATCGAAGATTGCATACACAGACACAGAGTTAGTTGCGATTATAGGCATTTTATATTTAATAAAATAAAGTAGATAAATAAGGCAATATTAAACATCAGTGGGCTAATGTTCTACGGTCTTGAAGAAGCGTGTTCAACTACCGGTAAGTTTCCGCGACACCAGCTGTCGGTAAATTTCCAAGTTGGGAAACATCCGCGAGCTTTTCACAAGGTACCGACTATCCCGTAATTTACAGAAACGCCAGCATTCGATAAATTACGAGATTTATCGTACGTTGGGGTTTCTGTACGTTTTATCGCTACAATGCCAGCATAAACTACAGAAACAGCTCTATATCAAACATCGATCATGTTTGTATAATTTCTATAAAACTTTGTTTTCCCTATTTCAATTATCGACAACAGAATTTCTTGTTAAATTATCATATCCATAGAAGAATTGCTTTCACTATTTGCATAATTTTGTAAACTATTTTTCTAGTATTAATCATGCAAAGCAATTTACTTGACGATAATATTGCAAAAAGAAGTACAAGAAGTAATTTCTTCTAAAAAGATCTACAATTCTAGCTTGTTTTCCGATCCCCGTAAAGTTTCCGCAAAGATATTTTTATATTAACATGTTTGCTTGGGGCAGTATATGTAGAATTATTTGTAATTCAAAAGAAACAAGCAGCTGTTGCATATGATTTAATTCTTCCGTATCAGTTTTAGCAAAAGTTACGCTGTAGGGAAAGTGATACGCCACAGTGGTACCAATGCACAATGTAACATCCGAAAAATTGAAGTCGTTGTATTATTCAACGGGCAGAGCGTACCCAAGCAATGTGAACTATCTCGACTATGCAGAAAACAAATTCTCTATTCAATTCATATATTTAATCTTAACCCGGGGTAATAGCTGTCGATGAACGCGTAGTACTGCACGTCGCACTGTAAGCTTGCGTTTTATACCAGCTGGCACCAATTCGTTGATATTCACGATGGTCGTATAATCGGTTTTATTGATACTTCCCCCGAAGAGAGATTTAAGCGGCTTATAGGCGTGGATAAATCCTCGGAAGCTCGTCAAAAATCATCAACGAGCGAAAACGGATCAAATTTTGTCAAAAAAAAAAAAAAAAATGGTTGTTCAATTTTTTCAATAAATCTATCAATAGATCGCCCAGACACGTTTCCCCTTTCTCATTACAAATTTCTGATTTGTGTCAGTAACATTTAAAAAAAAGTTGCCATATTTATTTCTGTATTTCATCGTAAACGTAATATAATTTATAAAATGATTTTCAAGAAATCTATGAGAAGGTACTACTTTATGCATATTTGCACTTTATTAAACGTAAATGTTATCAAAAATAAATATTTAAAGCAACAACTAAAAATAAAATATAATATTTTGCATGATCCGATTTGGAATAAAATTCTCTTAAAATAAATCCTGTACAATAACAATGTACATATATATATACACGCGTGTAATTGTATATAATTGTATATAAATCACGTATTATAATAATGTTTAATTAATGTAATAATTATGTAGTTGTATCAAAAAGTACGATAAAATCAACGCAAGATACATTTTCATAATAAAGTGGTTTGATACCATGTGGACGAGAGCAGCTAGATTACAAATAGTTAAACCGAATTGATTCAGCATGTTCGCGGTATGTGCGGATAATCTTCAAAATCGATAGGTCTTTATAAGCCGTTAATTAATATTGCATGCTGAATTTCCCGTTGAGAGCGTCGCGGACATTGCGGTCTGTAATTATTATTACCTTCGATACCGCTCGTTCTCCGCATGTGCAGAGTGTATCGCGAAATTACGGTAACGCAATCGTCACGCGAGACATTAACGTTACTTTGAACTATGTTTGGAATTCGAAGAATTGTTAATATAGATATGAAGAAAAAGCAAAAATTTCAGATTAAAAATATTTTAAGATTGAATCATATATGTCGACTGCATATCCATTATGATGATTACAACAAAATTATTAAGCTATATTAACAATCGAGCATGATTTTAAATAGTTGAAGATATAACGGGTCTAAAATTCGCTAATTTAAGCTGAAAGTGTAATTTCGCATCGTTCCGAGTCGCTGCTCTTTGCTTCGCAAGGCACCAAATGTAATGCTAATGTAGCATGCTTTATGAAATCTCGCTGTCATGATATTTGGACTGACTGCAGATCTTTAGAATTATTATGCCGTAATAGTAACATTTAACGTTAATAAGCAGTAATACGTTTATATCTCTTGACAGTTCTGTATGCGCTGCAGGCTTATAATATTAATAAAGCATACATCACATGAATTTTGACTATTTCAAGATATGCAAACATTAAAAAGATAAGGCACATGCCGCACACATACACATATACACATACATGTATATATTATCAATGTCAAATTTAATAAAATTAAAACCATCATCTTCTTCAGTTCAACTATGACTGAACGCGTTATTGACATTGAAGCATTCTGCCAAATTCTATGTACATTCGTGAATACTAAAATTCATATCTGATAACTGAACGATGAACAACGTTGTACCCGTTGTCATTAAAACATGAACGTTTTTGCGTTCGGACTGCACGCGAGCTCTCGAGATAATGCTGCTCCTAGTGGCGAGCACAGCAATTTGTCACGACTTGCTTCCCGACGAACGATTTAAAAACAACATTTTTCAACGTGCAACTCAGCTGAGGCACCGCAGCAGGAGATAATGGCAAAATCGAATACCGCTGTACCTCACGGAAGTGAGCAGTAATAACGATTTTATGAAAGTTTAATGAGACCAGAATTTCCACCAGGGAATGGCATTCTCGTTTGAAGCGAATCATTTGCACGAATGGAGAAGAATCTGTGAGATTGTAAATGCCTTGTTAAAATGTTAACTATTATTGTTATGAAAATATTAAACGATGGATAGCGTTTCGAACAGCGAATCTTCATATCGACGCAAAAATGCTTAATATACTTATATGTTATATGCATTGAAAAAATTCTTAAAAGATGAAGAAATCAAAGATGAAGAAACGTAACTCGTCAACACAAAACTTTTTCAAACTTTGGTCAATCTTCGATTGAAAATCATTTAAGTTCTGTTTACGAAAATTTTTAAAGCGCAGAACGGCGGACCGAATCGTGCGATCGTTTGATGTAAATTTTGGATAACGTAAAACTTCTCTCTGGAAAGCGCCAATAAACGCGTTCCTCTCTTTCTCCTACAAGTCCCGAGTTGTTGATCAATGTTACGAGAACGCTACGCTGCGGTGGAATATTTAAACGTGTGCTCGCGTGGCCAATATATCGGAACATCAAACGTGCGCTTGCTTCCTTTGTGCGAGAATACTAACGTTGTAACGTACCTTTATATCGACTATTTTTTTCAAACTTTCATCCGTTACATCATTACTTTCCTCAAATGTTCCGGGAAACTATTTCGGTATTGCCGGAAGTCATTTGTCAAGGGAATAGCGTTCAATATCACTTTAAATATTACATCTGTTGATCCTCTCACGCAAGCATTGTGAAAACGTTTTTAATTTACAAAACGAATGCTATATCCATAATAACAACTTTAAAAACAAACTGCGTCCTTTTATTCTAAATATATACATGAAGTTGCTATGTCGCATAGAAAGGTACGCATTAAAAAATTTAAATAAACGTTAAAAGGCAACGTGCAGTTATTTCTATTCCTCGTTTTTTGTAATAGTAAATTAACCGACAAACTTTTCTCGTCATAAATTAGTATAGGATCATATTATCGTTTAAAAAGCTTTGCGAATAAAAACCGCGAGGATTCATTAACCAGCTAGCATCTAACGAGATTTAAACCGGAGTTTCCGTAAATTAGTATGCGATACTTAATACTTTTTTTTTACCAGGATTATGCCGCAAGTATTTATCAAAGTGCTTGTTACGAGTACTTGTCTCATAATTTTTATCTCGTTACCAAAAGCAATGGAATCGCATATGACTGGAGCAAAAGAACGATATACTTAAATGAATATGCAGCACTTGACTTTACGCGGAAATGCTGACAAGCCATACAATAACGTATATATATAATTGTGGTATACCCCACAATGAGAAAATTACAATAATTTGCGGTA